GAGACCTGCCCCATTCTGGCTCATTGGTGTGGTCATATGTTGGTTCATTCAGCAAGCATTTCTCTGGCGTCTCCCTATCTGCCAGACTCTGGGTTAGATACCAGAGGAACAAAAGAAAGGTACCAATACTATTATCCTTAAGGCTCTCAATCCTGTGCATAAAGTCAGTGATTCTAAACAGTAGTTACAGGGTAAAGACTCCAAATGGGCTCTGGAGAATGAGGCTTCTCACACCAAGTATCTAAGTGTAAGCTAAGATGGAATTGCATTTTATAAAAGGGTATATGAGGGCATAGAAGGGTCATGCGAGGGCAGATATGAAGGATAATGGAGTCTTCAAGAGATGTGTTTCTACTAGACCAAGCTGAATCTGTAGGAAAGACAGCGAGAGATAAGGCCAAGACAGCAATGGCAGGAGGGAGGCCCTGCACGTCAAACTTACGGGCCTGAAACGTTTTAGAGACACAATGAGCAGTCCTCGAACAAGTCAAAGCAGATATCAGGGAGAAACAAATTTCTGTTTTCAGAAAGATAACTTTGGGACGACGTGCAGGAAGAGATTAGAAGGGATCGGGACTGGAAGTAAGGAGATCCATGAGGAGACTATGGCCGTAACCCAGATAACAATGGGCTCTGGGCTCAATCATCGTCCAGTTGCACGCCGTGGCACCAGAGGCCAAAAGCAGAGGTCAAGTTTCCACAGGAGGAGAGCGCTAAGCTGCCCATCAAGTCAACCGGACATAGCCTCCCAGATGCCAAGTCCGCTCCCTCTCCTGTTCCCCACTTTCTTCTCCCACGTGAGGTTCTTCTTTCCACACTGTGGAAGGCTTTTCCTTCCACCCTTGTACAAGTGAAGCTGATGGAGAAATCACCTTCCCAAGAAACTATTCTTCATTGCAGTCTCGCTGAAACTATTTTTTTTTAATTTCTTTAATCGCTCCAATATTCTACAACATACATTAAGTTTCTTGGCAGTCACACTGTATCTTGTAAGTTGGTTTACAGATATATGGAAAAGATACAGCCCTATAACTAAACTGATTGTTTCTTTATTTTTGTTTTAAAAATACCTATTACTTTTATTTTTTGAAATTGAAATGTAACCACCACTTTATTAAGCCAACATAATTTCTAACTACATTCTAAATATTTGTCCTTATATACCCACAGATAAGTATAGGTCTCACCCCTCATTCAGGAAACATCCCCTCACAACAGATGGAAATCATTACAGAAAACCACAACCAATCAAATGCAGAGAACAAGTGACTCGGTGGTGCCTGGCAACAACTGATACGTCTATAGCATCACCCCTGCAGCTGAGGCTCAAGGGTCATATCAGAAGAGGGGAAAGAAAGGTTATAAGAACCCGAGGATCAGGACATTTAGGTAAGAATTCATTTCCTAAAAATATCAGAGAAGATACAGCCCCACCATCTCCCCAACATGGATGCCTAAACAAGACCTGAACAAGGATGACAGACACAACAGACACGCTAACATGAAAGGGCCCTGCTGTCGCAAGTCTTCCCATTTTTCCCTATCTCCTATACACAGCTGACCAGAAGATGCTTGATCATGGGCAAGTATTCTTTAATGAGCAGGGGGTCTCCTCTGTTAATATTACACCAGATTCGCTTACTGAGTGGCAGGGCCTTTCTGCCCTTAACAGTGTTGCTGTGACATGAACTGATTTTATACCATCTAAAACTCAGTAGAACAAGCTGTTAGTTTCATGGTATCTCTATGTCCCTGCCACTCTGTAGTAAAACCAAAATACCATGTGGCATCCACTTCTTTCCCACCCTGCTAAACACACAGCCTTCCTGCTTCCCCAGGTTGACTGCTTTTCCTTTTTAAAGCCAATACAAGATCTGGGCCTGGTGGCATATGCCTTTAATCCCAGCACTTGGCTGGGGAGGGGGGCGGGCAGTGGCAAGTGGATCTCTATAGGTTTGAGGCCAACCTGATTCACAGAGTAAGTTCTAGGCTAGACAGAGGAACGTAGTGAGACCTTGCCTCAAAGCAACAACAAAGACCTGAAGAAAGAGTCTCTCCTTTTTTGGATGTTAAAATACCTACACTATTCTCTGATCTCCTACGAGTTTCCAGAAAACAAAAATGTTCTTTCTAGGAAAGTTCTGTCTTCCCTGGTGCACAGCATGGTAAACACTGTCTTTGAGTGTTACCAGGGTTGTGCTTGCACCTCCACCACTAAATATCCGTGCTTCTCTTCAATCCTGACTACCTTGAACCTCCCGTGACCAGCTGTCTAAACCCTGGGGAAGCTAAGATGATTGGGCAGCTAAGATGTTCATAAACTGAGTCAGGCCTGAAGGATTTTCCATGTACACTGTAGCTTCAATACCGCAGGGTGTTGTTAAAGGTAAAAAAGTTCCATTTTAATCCTATGGCATAATTCTTTAGACAATACAGTCTTCCGAGCATATTACACACTTGAAATAACCAGCAAGTACCAGGTAAAGTGGCACACCTAGGAAAAACGGCTAGAGTATCGAGGCTTAAAGCTAACCAGGGTGAAGAAATGCTTTTGAAAAGTCAACAAGACCCTCTGGATTCTGTAAGCTTCTCAACAGAAGCACTGGGAATGTAGTTTTGGTCATCTCTTTGCTCATGAGAACCCATTGCGTTTTCTTTAAGCACCCAACTATCTGAACACACAAAAGACAGAGATCACATGATCACGTGCTGTTTCCAGGGATATTGGACACTTAGAATTATTAATTATAGGCCAGAGTAACATTCAAAATTCATTCAACAAATTCCACAGAACAGGTGTCTGAACACACATGTGAGGAAAACATTGGTGGCCTGGCTAAGCAGTCCTAAACATTTCCTATCCTCACCACAGAATATATACAGGCAGCGCCTGAGAGGCCAGCAAACCACTGCTGATCACTGTCCACGCACAACAAACTGGCCTGGAGGATTCCTTTCCCAGCCGCAGCGGTAATTAACAAAGGTGCAGAGCTGCCCTCTAGTGACCAAGATGCAAACTGCAAAGGCCTTCATTGGCAGAAACAGTTAAGTCCTCCCAGCCAAGCAATTAAACACAAAATTTAATACGATTTAACACATAGAAGTTGCAGTAAAACTTCAAAAGAAAGAGACAAAAGTTAATTAATCGGCTTATACATCTCTATTATATATCTGGAGAGCTGACTCTTACAAAAGATATAGTTCAAAAATAATAGAATCTAACTCTTGAAATGAGCATCGCATTTCATTCATCCAGTGGTTTCACAATAAGATAGGACCAAACAGTCGCCTGGAGATTATCTACATAAAAGGAAAATTTAGCATCATAGGACCCGTAAGAAATAAATGCCTATGCTCAAATATTAGCTTTCTGTTATAGCTTTTGCAGTTTTAGTAGAATTGCTTTTAGCTCTTCCAAATATCATTTTATTAGTAAAAGGGAAAACACAGTAGCTATTTTAAAGGGTTACTGTAAGGGTTACGTAGGCCAAAGAATAAGTACCTAAGAACTAAACCCAGTCCTCTGCAGAGAGCCGCAAATGCTCTTAACTACCGACCGAACCATCTATCTAGCTCCAACACAATAATTTTTTTGTTGTTTGTTTGTTTACCATTGCTGGTCTTGCTATTCCATTTTCACAACTGCAGCTAATTAAATAACCGCAGGCTGATGCCACCAGGCATGGCTAGTGTACTTAGTCAGTACAGGTCTCTCCTCTGACACAAACAACAAGGACAACCCGAAATCTGGGAACGTTACTATGACCCAGTCCCTAACAGCAGTTGTATTCTGAACAGTAAAGGCTCATCTAGCTGGTGTGTGGTAGAGAAGCCTGGGCCTGTCCAGTTCTAAGAAAACCTCATAGCCTGACCTCACTTCTGAGAGGAGTACTTTAATGTAACAATAAACTTATTCTTTAAAACAGAACTCACTCTTCACTTTGAGGAGTTCTCAGATGTCAGCAGTTATCCAGTTCAGAGGGAGAGCACCACGTCCTACATGATCTACATATACCACTGTCCATTAACCAGAAACCAGCGTGGGTTTGCAGTTCAAGTGAGAGCCCTCTCATCTTACTCAATAGATCAGAACCAGTCTTCTCCCTGTCGGCTTACAGTGTAGACTAGCTTATTTTCTAATGTAGGATGAAACCATTGTCAAAAGCACAGTTGGTACCTATAGATAAGCTCCACAGCTCCTTGATCATCCAGAAGAGTAACTGCTAACCACAGCCATTGTTCTATGAAATGTTTCCTTTCTGGATGTTCTAAATGATTTATTTCTGTATGTGTATGCATGGCTGCATATGTGTCAGAGCATGTTTGTGCAGTCATGAGGAGGCCATAAGTCAATAGCCAACGTCTTCCTTAATCATTCTCCTCCTTTGCAAGGTCTCTCGATGAAGCTATTTGACTACGCCAGTGAGATTCTAGGCTCTTCCTGTCTCTGCCTCTCCAAAATGGGGCTTACAGACATGGATAATAACAGATAAAGATGTCTAAAAAAGATGCCATCGAATGTCGCATCTGTTAAAGCCATTTAAGAGTCTTGGGAGCTCAGTAACACAGTCATTGCCAACCATGCACAAAGGCCTTGTTCCTATCCATGGTAAAGGGTGTCTTATTAGATATTAGGAAGGTCATGCCAAAATCGTTTTAAGGGGTACCCCTGGGACTGTGTTTAGACATGTCACAGCACAGAATTTTCAGATGTGGCCTGAAATTTCTGCTGGAGACAGCAAATGATGGGTCCAGCTCTCTGGTTGGCTATAGAATCATACAGATCTATAAAGCTTGTACATGGTTCTACTTGAAGGATGAATAGGATTGCAAAGTATAAATTAAGAGGCACATTTCCTTTAGCCTGGCTGGATCCCCCTGCGAGCTAACACTTGGGAAGCCCCGCCTCTGGTACAGAGAGGAAATGCCAATCACAGATCAATCACTCTATGAAGGTGGATAATGGAATTGGGGATTTACCATCCTAATGGCTTTCTTACCTGCTGGACACCGTTTGGACATTTTTTCGGGCTTTCCAAAATAGAGGATTGAGGTTCTGGATTGGAAAGGAAGCAGACAGTCAATACCTTAAAGAATCAAATTTCCCATTTCCTTAGTTAAAAGCAAAAACTTCCACTAGATATGTATTATTTACAGTAAGTACCAAAAATATCCAGTCCTTTTTTCCAAACCATTAGCGCAGCATGTGAATATGACTGCTTCTCAGTATAATAAACACACGATGACACATACTGTGTCATTAGCTATTTCACAAACAGGAGGCGCCCGATGCTCTGCTCAGCAGACCAGCCTTAATTATTTTTCCTAATTGATTTTTGTTTTCCCCAGAAGTCCTTGCTTAAGAATGTTAACTGTGTTATTCACTTAGTGAAAGTTCATACATGATGAGACCACCTCAGTCTTGAAGCAAGGGATTTTTAAGGCTCTTTGAAGTCCTGACAAATTTGGTTCTGCTTTCCGTGATCTGCTTTCTGTGATGTATGATAAATACTGCCACCTGGAGGCACGAGTAAGAAGGGATTCTGAAGGGATTTTCTACCTTCAGCCGTTCTCAGCATTTGAGATTCTGCAAGATGACAAATTCATCATGTAGGAAGCACATTAGGATAAGTAGAGATTGTTGTTGCTGCTGTTAAAGTTATAGAGTATTTTCTATGTGAAAATGTAAGTATATGAAAATAAAAAAAAATCTCATCCATCCTCTGCATTTTAGAAACGAGAAGCCCGCTCATTGGCAAGATGAATGCAGGAGTCTAAGTCTTTTGTGTATTAGGGGCAGGGTTACATACAAAACACTGCAAATACAGTAGAGCAGTCACTGTCCCTGGTGTCATAAAGGATGTACACAACAGTGCTACCGAGATATCTTGTGTAGTTAGTGTTTAAAGAGCATGATGAACCGTGAAGCTGCAGTGAAAGCTTTCCTTGTACTCAGATGAACATTATAGCCTCAACACAGCCTTGCTGGCCTTGTTGTACAAATGGAAGAGTGTTCGCTAACAGCAAGTGCTTAAAACAGTTACAGAGTGAATATAGGAATGAAAGCAAATGAAACGTTGTCAAGTCAAGGAACTGTGTTACCATTAAAGAATTGGGAAGCCTTGTTGTGGGGAGCAATGAATTCTAAAGAGGCAGAAATCTACTTATTTCCTGAACTTCAGCTAAGATTGCATCTTTAGAAACAAAAGTCAGAGACTAGCATGGAATAGTCACTTGCCAACAGGTGTTAGAGTATGTCAGAATATAAACAAGTGACTTTACAATGCAACAATTGCCCCAGACAGCACTACCCCATCGAGCTAATCAAACAAGCATATTCTCCTCATGTTCAACTTGGCACTAGTGGCATCTCCATTTGAACGGAGATCTTTTGTTTGAAAGCACATCAACAGTTAATAAAGGAATCCCAAATCTGCTTCCATCTCTTGTACTTCTTCCCAAATAGAGACCCACAGACAGTCCCTGCTGAGAGGACATGCAGGGAAGTAACTTTTCTTCTTCTGTCTTCTTAAATATTACAGTAAGATCTATAGTTCTCCTTCTTATACTCTAGGGTTTGTTTTGTTTGTTTTTACATCAGATATGTACATAAGGATTGTTAGTTGTGTTGTTGTTGTTGTTGTTGTTGTTGTTTTCTCTTTGTAGTTCTTGAACTGGTAAGCTATCGACAAAAGACAGCTTCCAGACTCGGGTAGGCAATGTTGACGAGTGTGTTGAGCTGAATAATATAATCAGAAGACTATCAGACTCATCATCAGTCAGATATTGTGAACCCCTACACTCACATTCTCAGCTGCCCTCTATCCCATCCAGCAGGTGCCTAGATTGGGTCCATTCTCTTTCTCTCCATCTTTCCTATTGATCTTTTGCCGAAACTCTGTGTTAAAATAGCAAAGAAAAATTCATATTTCAAAATACCCTGCAAGGTCACAAGCTAGGATATAGGAATCTAGAGACTCAGATAAAAAGTACAAATGAATTTACTCCCCTGAGACATACAGTGAAAATAAATTGAGAACTAAGATCAAAAGTAGTCGAAATATGAAGATGAAGGAAAATATTAGACTAGAAGAGAGAAAAAATACTGGAAGGAAAAAGAGCAAAAAGAATTATAAACAACAAAAGTGTCGTGCCATGAAGTGGGTAAGAAATGATACCACACAAGAATAAAATGGTTCCCTTGTGAGTGACAACTCAAGACCCCCTCACTAGGCAGGTGGATTTGAGAAAGCAGCTCAGTTCGGTCCTATATTGTGCTTCCTCAATCCCAGTGACTGTCCCTTATATAAAGCAACACACCTATTTCTCACTTTTCCCTCAATCTACGACCCAAAGTCTTCTTTTCAAACTCACTTTCGACCAGGTCTTAGACTGAAAGTGTCTCCATTAAATACCAGAATGGTTACAGAGTCAACACAGTGACTGCACTTTGAAGGCACATAGAGAACTGCCACCTCCATTGTCCCTTTGAAAAACAAACAAAAACAACTAAAAACTATACCATTTTGGCTTAAAGCAAAGAGGAAGAAAGAGCATCCTTCACAAATCTTTTGATGTTCTGTATTTTTTAAATAACCTCACAAAATTCTAAGCATAATCTAAAGTCGTTGGGTTCATCCAAGCATAATTTGATGCAATCTGTTGTTTGTTTATATGCTTAGAGACAGGGCTTCACTCTAGAACACAGGCTCATGATCCTCAAAATCATGATCCAAATGCTTCCACTTCCCAAGCGTGGACCACAGGTGTGAACGGCTACTCCTGACTACCAGAAAGAGAAGGCAGTAAGATTGGCAGCATATGTCTCTCTCCTAAAAATGGAAATAAAATAAATCACAGTCCTAAAATACAAAATACATCAAGCAGATATTTATACTGTAAGTAATGTGCACAGTTAAAATTCCCTGGATTTCATCTTTTCTTACTGAAATACATCAACTTCATTCAAATCTAGTTAATTTAAGAAACAGATAATTTACTGAACAGAATTTAAATTGCATGCATTCTAATTGTAGTCTTTTTTAGGATTGATGATTTAATTCTAATAACAGGTATAAATGGAGCGAGAGCTTAACATGGTCCAATAGGCGGCTCATCCATATGTTCTTGTTTGTTTCTTTGGTAGTAGAGTCATCTCATCACTGCCAACAAAAGATATCCCCACTGAGGACCTAGCTGGCAAAAGGGAAAATATAAGACACACCCCTACACACACACACACACACACCAATACTCAGAAACACAATCCATCCTTCTGTCCCTGGATTGTGTGACAAGCACAGGGAGACAGAGCACAGCACTGCATCCTTGGTACTCCTGCATTAGTTCATTAGCTAAACAGTGTCAAGACATTTGGAGAAAACACAGAAATGGGCCAGTGATACCACATTGCAGTACACCACACAACATCTCTCTTGAGATTTGTCTTTGTTTTGATTTATGTGTTCATGCGTATATCTGGTTTTGTGAAAGTCTCACGTGTGCGGTTGTCTGTGCAGGATAGAGAAGGGTGTTAGAACCCCTGGATCTCACATTTATAGGTGGTTGTGAACTGTTGTACGCTAGACTCAGGAAGAGCAGCAAGCACTCTTGACCACGTAGTCATCTCTCCAGACCTCTAAAATCCTTCATAGGGACCATCAGCGACATTATTTGGATATTAGAGGCTAGAAAATTTGTGATTCCCTAAGCAACTGTTGCTTTAGCCTTATGACGAGTGAAATGGCACACAATCGCTCATGCTCCCCTTTCCACTCTGAAATGAAGGAATCCATTTCTGATGACCTTAAAATATTGCAGATTCTTCCGAGATACACTGCAGTGAGCTGACCTTACCCAGACTCACTCTCTTACTTCATCCTAGATTCTTTTCATTTGATCCATCTCCCTTTGTGTTCCTTTTGTGCATCTTAGATATTCCTAAGCTGTTAAATGATTGGAGCTGAAGACCTTAAGTGCTTGCTTTTTGCCCGTTGATCAGATACGCTAGAACTATCTGCATTATCTATGCAGCATGGGGTTTTTATTATTTTTACCTAAAGATGTCTCTTTTTGGTAATGACAAATGTGGTTTTTTTTTTTTTAAAAAAAAAGGTCTGGTTTTTCTCAATACACCTTTAATGGTTTTTAAATTGTTTCATATCTGGTCAAGTTAAGATTTTTAAGAACTTCATTTTTCATTTGTAATAAAAAGTTTACAACTTGATTTTTTCAAAAAAAAGTCAACAAACTGCAAGCACCTGTTAATAAAGGTCTTAAATAATAATAAAAAAATGTTTTCTTAAACAAATACGGTTGATTCAGCCAGAAAATAGACATTGTTGGAAGATCTTCCCAGGAAAATTTCTGTTCAACTTCTCACTCTATACATGAACAAACACACAGTCACACAAACACACACAGACACACACAAGGTTTTATTTTTATTCCTCCAGGATTTCCTGTACCTTCACTGCTTTTTTTTTTTTTAAGGCAAACCTGTCTGTATTTGTTGTGTTGGCCAGTGTCATGGTCGTGGAATGGTGAGGGGCTTGAGTGAAGTGAGCATGTCTAATCCCTTCTTTACAACTACTCATTTCTCTCCATCCACTAAGAAGACAAACTTTCAGTAAAATTAATTCTTTGACTATGTGTAAATCAATTATATGACCATCTGTATCTTTTTTATTATTTCTACTAATTTCTCTTTAGCTAGCACACCAAATAGTGGGTTTCACTAAGATACTTTTGAGCACATACATGTGCACACAAACACACACACACACATGCTACTGTTTTACTCTCCTATCCTACTTTACAGTTCCCACTGAGAGATTTCCCTCACCATAGTCTCCCATCTGTGTTCACTGAACATGTGTGTGTGTGCATAAGTGTGCATGAATGCACACACACATTCTGCATGAGAAAAAATGTTATATTTGCTTTTCCTTCCGAATTAACCAGTATTGTCCCCTATCAACAGTATCTCATTTAAACAAACCTTTCCACTCACTTGCATGTCTCCTATTGCATGTACATTTATTATATATTAAATGTAGATTTTATATATGAGTGGAAAACATGTAATACTTGTATTGAGTCAAACTTATGCTTACCAATGATATCTCTACTCCCCTCCACACACTGTGAAGGATACAATTGCTTTAATTCATCGCCAGCACAGTGAACAATGTTCCTTCCCCCTCCTACAGTCTCATTATGATTTATTAACTATATTTTCATGAAGTCAGCAACTCCAAGTATGATGAAACTGAATATTTGCACAGTTTTCCTGCATACTTCCCTATAGCTGAAGGGCTTTTTTTGTATCTCTAATCACCATTTACATCTCCTATTTTAAATTCTTTTCCTTTGTCTATTTATCGACTGAAGGACTTTTTTCCATTTTTTGTTTAGTTTTTATATATTATAGATATTTCTCCTTTTCAGGTGTAAAGAAAGCAAAGATTTTCTTTCTAATTATAAGGTTGTCATCTCACTCTGCTGAAACTTTCCTAGAATGTACAGATTATAATTTCAAGCAATCCTTCGTTCTAAAATGCTATCTAAGGTACTGGAAAGCTATCTTCAAAACCATTACTTAACCTGTGCCTCTAAGAAGGGTACAACAGTTACAAAACCTCGGGTCTAATGCTAATGTCACTGATCTTTTTTAGAACAGATGCTTATGTAGGGAAAGACTGGGATCTAGTTTCATTAGTCTACCCATAAGTATCCACTTTTAGTTCATTCTCAGCCAGACACTTCTTCCAGTAACCTAAAGATTCTTTTAAATTATTCATAAGTATTATAGAATTATGTTATTAATTCAGCCAGAAAAGTTGAAAAATATACAGTAGGGGCATCAAAATATTATGCCAACCAATGTTGCATATGCAGAAAAGGATAGAAACCATTGTTCCAAGGGCTCTGAATGAAATTTAAACTGTTGCATTTGTACCTATGAAGTTCAGTCAATAGCATTTTAGCCTAAAGATAATCATACATATAATGGGGTCAAAATCTTTACCTGAGTTTTTCTTTTTTTCAAAACTAACAATGTGTTGGGTGGTGGTGGTGCATACCTTTAAGCCCAGCACTTGGGAGGCAGAGGGAAGTGGATCTTGGTGAGCTCAAGGCCAGCCTAGACAATAGAAGGAGTTCCAGGACAGACTCCAAAGCTACACAGAGAACCTTGTTTCCAAAAGAAACAAAACAAACAAACAAACAAAAAAAGAAACCAACAACGCCAATATTCATATGTTGGATTTTCAGTCACTATCTGTCAAAACTCTTTTCTCTGAAGATTGTAATGTGTGAAATTCTACCTGGACCTTTGATCAACTATTGTCTGTGAGTGTTATAGTAAACAGAATCTTACATGAAATAGTTTTCTATTTTCTCTCACTCACTTGTGTTTATTTTTTATTCTATTGGATTATATGCCAATTAGTGAATACTAAACAGTTTCTCCAAAACACAGGGAATTTAAAAAGGAAAATGCAGGATACTGTGTAGATTCCCATTTGGTGCATTGCCTGAAAGAATACATGATGAAATACATTTGCCAAGAAACTGAGATTAAAAACAAGAGTGTGGGAACACTGTTCAAAATGTGGGCAGAAGCCTGGCAAACCATTGACAGAGTCATTGTTGGTTTTCAAGGGAAGATATGGGGAAGATAATAACATGAAATAACTTTAATGATAATTATAGCAACAAGGCTGAGCACTTCCATTGGCCCAGGAACTCGACTCTGTACTGTAATGCTTTACATGAGCACATGCAGTCCTCCGAATCATGCTGCACAGCGGATGCTATTCTCATTAACATTTCATAGATGAGGAAATGCATACAGCAGTCTGGACATTTGCCTAATGTCACAAAGCTGATGTAACGCAGAGCCCAAGGTTCATAGTCTTATATTTTGCCCTTTCACAACAAGCCCAGATTCAACTTCTTCAGCCATCTCTCCTTCACTGAGCCAGTGCCGGTGGTCAAGACCTAAGCTCTGAAACCCACAGTATTACTTATGAAAACCTGATGTGGAAAGATCTGCGGGTAGAATCAATGCTGTTCCATTTAGTCTTCATTTCTATATCAGAAGATGGTGCTTACTTCTGCTCAGTTTACCAAGTCTGGAGTCTATTAAGAAGCCATCATTCTACTGAATTTCTCCAAGTAACACTGAGGCTAGTCTCATATTATCTTCCCAGCCAAGTGATGGGGGTGGGTCTTGTATCTTATCTGTTGATTTCACTGGTTAATAATAAAGAAACTGCCTCGACCCTCATAGGACAGAAAATTAGGTAGGCTGAGTAGACAGAAGAGAATGCTGGGTAAAAGAAGCTGAGTCGAGGAGTCGCCATGATTCTCCCGATCCAGACAGACGCAGGTTAAGATCCTCCCTGGTAAGCCAGCTCGTGGGCTACATAGAATATTAGACATGGGTTAGAACAATAGGTAAGAGCTAGCCAATGAGAAGCTGGAACTAGCCGGGCCAGGCAGTGTTTTAAAAAATACAGTTTCCATGTAATTATTTCGGGCATAAGCTAGCCACGCGGGCGGCAGCCGGGTGCCGGGGATGCAGCCCCGCTGCTCCTATTTCAACAGCCAAGAACACAAAATTGTTTAAGACAACAAAAGGAAAAGAAAAATTAATAATTTTTCAGGGAAATATAGATCACATTGGAATATTCTATAATTATTTTAAAGTGAGATTTAAGTAATTTACATCACTATTTTTCCTTTCCCAGTTATCTTTATAGGTAAAGAAAAGAATGTTTAGATGTACAAAGAAAATGTTAAGCAAGGAAATTCAGAGATAATAGAGAAAAATATCCCCTGAGGGTCTCTTAGCCCAAATAGAATGTAGGGTTTCAACCTGGTGGGTAGGTGGGTGTCTTTTGACAATCGTTCTTAAACTTCAATAAAAGAAGAAATGACTGGAAAATCCCAGTACATCTACCTCTTCTCTATATTCTAGCTCAGAAGCTTTGGACACGGCCATAAGAACATTGTCTCAGGCTTCTCATTGATTTTAATGGATTGCCTGCAGGAGATATGTTTAAAAAAATACCTGCAAGAGACTAGGGACATACTCCCAAGCAAGTGTTGCAATTACACATTCCATCACATAATCTTGTAAAGCTGGCTGTCCATATCCTACCTGCATCAACATCCTTGGGGCTGTGTTCTTCATCAGGGAGCCTGGATGGTTCTCTCCTGGGAAACCGCCCTTCGTTGTAGTCCATGGAATGTGTGGGTTGACTAACTGCAGCCCAGGTGTAAAGCTGGTCTTGCTGCATTTAAAAAGGAATTTAAAAGGAAATCAATTCAATCATGAAAAATAAATGGCTAATACATTACAAAATGTAAAAAAAAAATCCCTCAAATACACGCAGATATGCAGACACATCTAAAGCATTCAAACAGCATCTTACATTGTACAATATAGAACCATTAAGACACCACTTCTCTCAATCTGCCCCAATTATTATTGTCATTATTATTATTATTATTACTATTATTATTATTGTAAAACCTAAGTGTCTCTCTTTGGAAGAAGAAGTATTACATGGGCCTGCCATGAGACACTCCAGATGCAGAGTTATACAACTTACTGAAAATGGGTCTTTAACCCATCTAAATATGATGTCTCTTTAGCTTTGCTGATGTGAACTTGGCTTGCTTTGATTTTGGGTTCTCAGGTAGGTCCTCTCTCACTATCTACCAGGCTAGCATTGAACTCCAGGGTTCAAGTGATTATTCTTCTCAGTTTCCCCATCAGTGGGAACTACCAGCATGTTTGGCCACACTGGGATGATGTCCCATTAAAAACTTGTTTAAAAATGTAGAGCTTAAAAAAATTAAAAAAAAAAACTTGTTTAAATACTTGCAGGAAAGTTAGAGGATAGTCTCTACATGGACACCACAAGGACAATAATAGATGCTTATCTTGAGACCTAGATTGGAAGTTGAAAGAAAGGGCATGATGAAGTCAATGAACCTGGCAAGAGCAAGATTACAGAGGGCTCTTATGGCAAAGGAATGCTTCGCCAGCTGTAGTCAAGATAAAGCACACAAAATGAGAAGGTTCCTGCGTGTACCTCATGCCAGAAGGCAAACCAGATGGCTCCCTTGGGGACCTATACCTCAGAGCTGATCATCAGGACTTCAGAACAAGGCCAGTCCCTTTAGGATGCACACGAGCTATACATGCATGCACAAGCAAAATGAGAGTTGGAAAGGGAACTATACCCAACAGCCTGGGCATTACAAGGAATCATTGGATGTTATTGGTGATAATGGGCCAAAAAATTTTGTAGCCAAGAAAAGCACAAAAATAACTGCCAACACTGACCACAAAGGGGTAGATAACCTTCACTAGCCAATGATGGATACTGAGAATAAATAAATTCCAACAAAAAAAAGCCCAGGACCTCATGACTTCACTACTGAAATCTACCAAATGCTTAAAGAAACAATAAATTCTGCTTAATTCCTACCAAGAGAACAAAAGCCAAAGAGCAATGTTTTCTAGCCCAAGTCCAGGATCAGCCAAACCAGATTAGGACATCATGGAAAAGAACACTACATATTCCAGGAATAAGAGTCTGAGCAGAAATACAGTTTGTGGAGATGGGAAATATATGGACCAAAGAGAATGAACAAAACAGTGACCAGTCACCTGAAATTGTAGGTGACAAACGATACAGCAACATTAGGGGTATAGAAAGTAAGGACTGTTCATACGGGCACTGAACACAGGATGAGTATTCTGGGTCACAATGCCCCCTGGTAGGGTTTGACAGGGACCTAAAAAGGTTCGAGTAGGTAGATCAGACTGGGGCAGAGAAGGAAGATGATGATGATGATGATGATGACAATAGTGTGTGTGTGTGCCTGTGTGTGTGTGTGTGCGCGCGCGCGCATGTGCATGTAAGTGCATGCCCACATGTGGAGATCAGAGGTCAATGTCAAGCGCCTTCACATACTGCTCTCTTCATACACTGTTGAGGCAGACTCTCTCTCTCTGAAGCTGAAGCTCGCTGACTGGGCTAGATTGCCCTGGAAAGCCATTGTAGCTCTAGGGTTACAGGCTCACACTGCCACCCCTCGCTTTTCACATAGCTGCCTGTTACCCAAATTCAGGCCTTTCTGCTTCTGCACTCAACACCTTCCTGGCTGAGCCCTCTGTAAACCGGAAATAAGGTCTGTGCCCCATGCTACCTTGATACTGCACGGGCTTGATAAATAATGCCAAACACAGATGTAAGTATACTCATTTCCTGATTATTCGTACCTTACCTTCACACCAATCTGATTTGAAGTTTGGGAGTTTCCCACTACAATATTTTGAAGAAAAGTGAAAACAAAGCACCATGATTTGGCATATAGCCACAGACAAAGCTGATTTCTGAATGACATTTAAAGGAGTTACTCGCCTAGTAACAGTTACTAAGAACAGGAAGTCCTTGCAATGGATTTATGAGCCCACATACAATGTTAGTTCTCAGGAGGAAAGCAAACGTAAACAACTCTTTTCTACGGTATAACTGGGACATGATATTGTAGGCTATACTTATACCTACTGCTTCAGAAAAAAAATGCATTTTCACTGTAGAGAATAAAAATGCTCTTTAGTCAAATTAAGTAATATAATTCAAACTGCTGTGGAGCAATCCTTTCATACAGTATGAATATCTTTACTCTCATTGACTAATAAAAGCTGATTGGCCAAGCCAGGCAGGGGTGATGCACATCTTTAATCCTAGCACTCTAAGCAGAGGCAGGTGGGTTTTTGTGAATTTGAGGCCAACCTGGTCTACAGAGTGAGTTCCAGGACAGGTTCCAAAGCTACAGAGAAACCCCGTCTCGAAAAAAACAAAAACAAAACAAAACAAAAAGCTGATTGGCCTATAGCGAGGCAAAAAGTACAGGCAGGTGACCAAAGTGAAGATACAGGACAAAAGAAGGGTGTAGTCGGAGGTCAAGAGGTGTCACAGAGAAGCAAAGAGGGACGTGTCATGCTAATAAAGATACCACCACATGGCAGAGCATAAATAAGGAATACGGATTAATTTAAAATATAGGAGCTATTTAGTAATAAGTCTGAGCTATTGGTTGAACATTTACAGTTAAATACAGGTGGTAATTTGGAAGCAGCTCCCAGAACGGAAAAATGCCACCTACCTAAAACTGAATTTTAAAGTTTTCTTTTGTTTTTTTTTTTTTTTAATGTGTGTGTGTAAATCTGTGTATGTGTATGCACAGCCTGAAGTGGGTGCTAAGAAGCAAATTCAGGAACTATGGTAATACAATAAGCACTCTCAAGGACTGAGGCATCTCTCCTGCCCCAAAACTAAATTAATTTTGAAGGGCTGGATAGGTGGTTCATTAGTAGAACATTTTCCTAGGAGGCATAAGCCCTCATTTTTCTCATGTTTTTCCTGTCATTTAGGCAGTTAATGTATGTATTATCCTAATATATCTCACTGCCTCTACAATTCCAACTACTCAGCAGATGGATAAGCTCCAAATTGCTGCTCAAAAAAAAATTGTTTTATCTTCTCTGCAGACAAACCCTGAGAGGCAAGCCTTCCTTTATAGGAAGACTGACCGTCACTGAGTACTTTGAATCCTCTACCATCCTATCTCTGGTCTTGCAGCTTTATCCCAATTAACTAAAATCCCTTCCACGAAGCAAAGGTGTTGCCTGTTTGAGAGGCTATCACCAGCATCACCGTCTCCTACATCACTGCAGAAAAATCTTCCTGATGCAGCGACACCTCTTCCCTCATCCTCTGGAAGTGCATGATGGGCAACTTGGGAGAAACTGCCTTGCAGGTGCTCACAGCTTTGAACAGGTCAGCACTTTTTATTTTTAAGTACCCTAAAATAAATTTTTCCAAATTTAGAAGTGTTTGAAGGCAGGTTTTGACATGCCTCAATGTTTCATTCTATGTGAGTCTCCTCTCAGCTGCACACACAATCTTTTAGAAGCCCAATTTTAGCCACTAGTTAAAGTCAAGGCATCTGATTGGGATTGATACGTCAGTAACCATGCAGCCAGCTTTGAGGTTTATTATGCTACTGATCTTTGAAAAGACTTTATTTGCTTTTGTTTGTGTGTTTGTGTGTGTGTGTTTATGTCTGTGCATGGAAGTGTTGTGCCTGCAGAGTTCAGGGGGAGGAGTCAGATCCCTTAGGACTGGAGTTACAGCTGACTGTGGCTTCTGTGCTGCCGGCTGAACTCGTGTTGTCTGCAAGAGCAGCAGGAACTCTTGACCACTGTGCCCTCTGCCTTTCTAGGCTCAGCTCTGATGATTTTTAAATGGACTAATTAATTACAAAGTATAGGTCAACAAATTAAGAATATGAATTATGGAGAATTCTTACATATAAACTATTGCCCATCCAGTCTTCCAAACTAGAAACCATGACCTTTGATAGGTCAGTACCTCACATTCTCAGCACACCAAAAAGAACAATGCTTTGCATGTTAGATATGGCACTAGAATTCACTTCCCATTCATCTTAGTGGCTTTACACTTTCACACCAAGTGCAGATTTCTCCACGGTCACCACAATGCTGGAGCATTCCTTATGTCTGATGGGAAGCAGTGTTCACAAACAGCAAAAAAAAACTGCATCTGCTACCATAAGGCTTGAAGCTCTCCAAATGTTCCGAGATGGAACTGTGACAGCTGGTGTGCCTATGAAGAACCTCCCTATGTTGCCATCTACCCATCCTTGTCCTCCATCCTCTGCAGTCACTCTGCATCTGCCACCAAGATGCTTCAACATTTCTTGAAGGCACCAAGATCGTCCAGAGCCCAGTGCCCCTATATAAATATTCTCAGGGATAGAGAGATGGTTTGACTTTTCAGAGTGCTTCTTGATCACCCACAAGACATGGGTCTGGTTCCTAGAACTCATGCTGAGTGGCTCCTAACCACCTTTAACTCCAGCTCCAGGCGTTCCAATTCCCTTGTCTCTACAGGCACCTCACAAGGCATACGCACACAGAGACACTGACAATACACATAGACAGAAACTTTCAATCTTAGAAGTTTGTTTTCCTTCCCCAAACAACTTGCCTTTTGATTTTGCTGTGAAGGCGAACAGTCAGGGTCAATGGGAAGGGATTCCACAGGAACACACCTCTGAGCAACTCACTAGTGGAGTTTCTAGATCAAGTTAATTAAGGTGGAGACACGCCCTGAATGTTGACAGCATCATTCCACAGGAAGGAAGGTAAGCTGAATAAAAGAGGTAAGAGCGACCCCAGAACCAGTAT